TCAGCCAGCCAATCCCATTCTGCAATTTTTCTAATTTTCACCAATGAATATAATTGTCACATTTGAAAATTTTAACAGCCTAACGATTCTGTCCATTTTTGAGATATTTGCTACTTTTTAGAGTTTAGGGGCTGATTTGCCACCACATTTTCTTATGAGGAGCTTATTTGCCAGTGGAAGATAATTTGAGGGGCTAATTTTGTCCATTTTTCCAAAATAAAATCAACATGTCCAGCAATGCCACGCCCTAAAGTCCCTAATCCTTCTACAGCTCTGACGGTGAGACCACATAATCTTCTTACCGGCCGACATAGCCTCAGACCACCGCCACCCCAGGCTTGCATTGAGCAAAGTCCATCGTCTCTAACCTGCAAGGTTAAAACCGGTTCTCTCTTCCATTTGTTTTTTTCTAAAACCCCCAGCTTATTCCTAAAATAAAAGGCTAAAACCCCACTCTGTTCAGGCTCAAAATAATATTCAATGGAAAGGCTCTAAATTTTTTGTGCCTGGCTGTTGTCCATCTCTTTTTCCGGTTGCACCCATTTGTATTTCTTGTTCCTAGGGAGCCCGTTTATTGAAATTCCAACAGAGCCTTGAAGACAAGCAATCCCGATTGTCTATTTTCTTTTCAAAGGTAAAATTTTGTATGCTTTCTCTCTTATATGGAATTCTTTTTATGTAAATTAATGTTTTGGGCTAAGTAGATATGAATTTGAAACCTATCTAAGAGGTATGCTTTGGAATTTCTCTTGCAAGGCATGACTCTGGATTCTTGTTTTGGGTTTTGATTTGAGATAATAGCTGCAAATGAGTATGTTCATAATTCGGGTTCTTTAGTCTGCATTTGATATAGGAAGGGTAGGGATTTTAGCTACAGGTTTGGCTGCAACCATCATTTTGAAGAATGCCCTGCTTGCGCTACTATAAAACCTGGATTTGTTAATTTCAATTTGAGCTTTATGTTTTTAGCTAGGTCCTCAAAAATATTGTCTTCAGTTAGATTAACTAAAATGGACGTCCAAATCAAATTTGGTTCATGAAGAATCTAAATTTAAAGTAGTTTGGATTTTGGAGTGTATGGTTTCAATAGCACAGGGACAACCAGTCGGCTGAAAGCCTGAAATTCTAACAAAAATATGAACTTAAATGTAAAAAAAAAAAAGTAAAAATAGAAATAAAAATAAAAGAAGAAGCTGTGTGGCTCTCTTGTTAATGTAGATTTTGCTTTTGTAATTGTTTGGGAAATTTATAAGACAAAAGTTCATTGCGTGTAAGTTTCCATTTCAAATTGGGTTGTTTGTAATTCACCACATTATCTTACTAAATTGTGGTTTTCTTTGCTGAAACTTGCAGGCATGCTGTTGAGTAGCAAGCTGGCTCAAAAGTATATTTGAGAGTTTGACATATTGCATAGATGGATATAGTTGAATCCATATTGGATATTCCTGTGCAAGACCCACCAGAGGACTTCTCTTCTGCTGACCTGACCTGGACGAAATTTGGCACAGCTGACCGCCATGAAGATGTAGCGCTTATTCCTTATGAACAAGTAGATGCATTTATTGTTGGAGAATGCTCTAATGTTGAATACCCTACACAATTCCATATTGAGAGGGGAAGGAAAAGATCAAAGGGCGAGTTGAAGAAGTATAAGAGTGATGAATATCTAGAGTATAGGTGGTAAGTTCCAATCGTACTTGATATTTACTTTTGCTTCTTTCTGCTTTCTCTAACGTCTAAGCAGGGGAGTCCTCTTTCCTTTTAATTCACTTTATTTGACACAGTACTTGCAAACCTAGGAGTATTAGATGATCACATAGTACACAATTGGTTTTTTCATTGGAATAAGGTTTTCCTTAAGGAGTTAAGCTAAACATTTTTGTGGGTTGTATGCATAAAAGGTATTGGTGTTCCTTTGGTCCTGAAAATTATGGAGAAGGTGGAGATGTATTACCTAGCCGAAGATATCGCCTTCAAACCCGAAACCGTGCTCCTAGACCTCAATCAATGCGAGGCTGCCAATGCAATTTTACTGTGAAACGTCTATATTCTCGTCCATCTATAGCCCTCATTATATACCATGAAAGGCGTCATGTAAACAAGTCTGGTTTTGTCTGCCATGGGCCACTTGACAAAGATGCCATTGGTCCTGGTGCCAAGAAAATTCCATATATATGTAATGAAATTCAACAACAAACAATGTCTATGATTTATCTTGGAATTCCTGAAGAAAATGTCTTAGAAAAACACATTGAGGGCATTGAAAGATACTGTGGTGCAAATCCAAAAGTTAATAGCCTTGCTTCACAGTATGTCCACAAACTTGGGATGATTATTAAACGGTCCACCCATGAATTGGATCTAGATGATCAAGCTAGCATTCGGATGTGGGTTGAACGCAATAAGAAATCCATATTCTTCTATCAGGATTCATCAGAAACTGATCCTTTCATTCTGGGAGTTCAAACGGAATGGCAATTGCAACAAATGGTACGTTTTGGTCATCGCAGCCTCATTGCGACTGATTCAACATTTGGCATAAAAAGACTTAAGGTAATGAATTTCTTGATGTGTTTTCTTTTTCTAAGCAAGCTTTATAAAAACTACTTAATGGATGTTTACATCAGGATATTTCTGAATTGCAGTATCCCTTATGCACCCTTCTTGTGTTTGATTCAAGACAACATGCGCTACCTGTTGCATGGGTCATTACTCGTAGCTTTGCTAAGCCAGATGTGACTAAATGGATGAAAGCTCTACTTGATCGAACTCGTGGTGTAGACCAGCGATGGGAAATCAGTGGTTTTTTGATTGATGATGCTGCAACAGAGATTGATCCCATAAGGCAGGGTGTTCTTGCTTTAATCTTTGGTTTGAGTAAAGTACGGTACTTTCTTTTTTCTTACTTCTGGTTTCAGTTGATCTTTCAGGGAATTGTTTTGTTGTCCAGTCCTCTTTTCCCTCTGGCGTGTTCGTAGATCATGGCTGAGGAATGTTGTTAAGAAATGCTCCAACATTGAAGTTCAACGTGAGATTTTCAAATGTTTGGGCAAAATAGTTCACAGCATTTGGGGTGGAGTGGATCCTTCAGTTGTTTTGGAAGATCTTATTCAGGATTTTGTTGATCAAACTGCCTTCATAGAGTATTTTAAGGCATCTTGGGTGCCTAAGATAGGTTTGATCTCCCTCACTCATTCAGACATGACCACATGATATCTATGAAGGTGTTAATATCTAAATTCTATTTCTTGTGTTGTTTGTTTCTGATTTAATAGAAATGTGGCTCTCAACAATGAGAATGCTTCCACTTGCAAGTCAGGAGGCATCTGGGGCCATAGAAGCCTACCACGTGAAGCTTAAAGCAAAATTGTTTGATGATTCACATCTTGGTGCACTTCAAAGAGTTGACTGGTTAGTCCACAAGCTCACCACTGAATTGCATTCAGCCTATTGGCTTGACCGGTATGCAGATGAAAGTGATTCATTTCAAAATGTTAAGGAGGAATATATTGCATCTACATCGTGGCATCGTGCACAACAAATTCCCAATTCTGCCGTTACCTTGGATGATAAGAATCACCAATTTGCCAAGGTGGAAAGCCAGAAAGACGGCAGTGTAACACATTTAGTTTGGAACCCTGGATCAGAATTTGCTTTCTGTGATTGTGCATGGTCTATGCAAGGCAACCTTTGCAAGCATGTCATTAAGGTCAATATGATGTGTGAAAATTGTGAGGGCTATCAACCTTCCATGTCTTATCAGTCCTTCAGAGAGATATTGGTGGATCTCTGGAAAAAGCCAATGGATGATTCAGTTGCATTAGATGAGTCGGTTGCTTGGACTCACCAGATGCTCAATCAAATTAAACAACTAGTGGAACTGACTACTTCAAATGACATTGGTGCTGTTGTAAACAATATGCCATTGAAATGGGTATCTAAGAAAGGCAGGACGTTTGTTGGGATACCAGCCTCTATTCAAGCTCCTCCATCCAGTTCCAAGACCATTTCAAAGAATGCACGCAGGAGTAGGAAGAGAAAAAGATTGTCAAGATTGAGATGATAGCATAAGTTGTTTCTATAGTGTGTCATAGCTTGACACTGCCCACTGGATGTCTAACATGCAAATCTTTTTGACTGTCATGGTGACTGACTGCATGGCATGCGTGGTGCTTTTACTTTCTTGGAGAAGCTAACCCATGCTAAATGAAGCAGTGATCGAGTGTAGCCAACCTATGAAGATATATTCTCATGAAACACTGCATTTTCACTTACAATAGTTGGAAATGTGAAGATTTCTTAGAGAATAATCACTCTTGAATTCCATCAAGATGGATTGGGAAGCGGACTGTGAAAAGAAGGTAGCAATCACTATCAAAATTTGCTTCAGAATTTGGGCACACTTGGGTATTATGCTAATTATTTCATTCCATCATTCCTTCTGGCACTTAGTTACCTAACTTACCCTGCAGTATAATTGCTTGCAAGGGACCTTTAATGTGCATTTTTGGTTGAAGGTTAATATGGCGGGCATCATACAATGGATCCATTCATCATATGATTAGTTTCTGTTGTGAAGATGCGCTAAACTTGAAGAATATACAAAAACATTGGTTGTTTAACAAACACTGTCAAAGTCAATAGGTTGGACTTTGTTGTTATTGACTTTTACTGTATTATAAAATGAATCCCTTTGTTTTATGAAAGAAAGCTTATTATTTTCGTATTCGAATGTTAAGATGATGGAATTGGAATGGCGCAGTATGCCTGGTTGCATCTCCAGAAGTTCTTACAGATGTACTCCATTAGGGAAGGTGAGATTTTAGCTGTAGTTATACAATTGTGGTTCCAATGTGCGTGTGTGTGTGTTTTTTTTTTTGGTGGAAATGATGAGCAATGTCATCTAATTTAAACCATGTACTTGTGCCTAATTTTCCCATTTAAGAGACTTTTGTTATCCCATTTTATCCCGTCTCATCCAGATTTTTTTAAGTAAAAATTACAGGAAATGAGAATTTTTTGTTTTTTTGGGGAACAAATTTAGTAGTAGTTGGTTGGATTCATTCTATATGGAATTTAGGGTTCAGGTGCTAAATTCATGTGTTAAGAATATATTACTTTTTTTTATAATTAATTTATATAAAAAAAAAATTAATTTTAATTTTATTAATTATTTAATTAAAATATTTCACATTATATTAATATTAAAAGTAAATTTATTTTTTATAATTTGTTATATAAATTAATAATAAAAATATATAATAAATATAACCTGACCAAACATTGAGAGAAAGTTAATATATATATATATATATATAATTCAAGCTCCATGCCATTTTTCAGCCTATAAATATATATATTTGATTATTTCTTTTAGATTATTCGGTGTTGGACTTGGACTTGTCTTGGTTCCACCCAATGGTCCATTCTAATTTATATACGGACGGAGTACTTTTCCTATTATTATTATTTTTTTAGCTCTTAAATTTCCATAAAAAAATAATAATAAACATTTTTATATTTTGACATTTTCTATTGAATGCAAATGCAAAGCCTGAAAAATGAAGTCTTGGGCTACGATACGAACAAGGCCCGGCCAAAAAGTCAACAACAACTCCACTCCCGATTTCCGTTCCGCCGGTAGTAGTAGGCGGCTGGGTCTGGGGCTCACCACCGATTCCGATCTAATTCATCTTTTACCTTTACCCCTTCTCTTTTCTCTTTTCTCTTTTCTCTTTTCTCTTTCAGACCAGCAAACAAATGGCGGGATTCATCTACCAACTCTTCTCATCTTCATCTCTGTTCTCCCTTGGACTCTATCATCTCATCTGCTCCACCCGTTACTTTCTCAAATCTCCCCATTCCTACTCCGCCAAGCCCTTCCACTCCTTGCCCTTCTCCTCCTCCTTCTCCAACCGCTTCAAATGTCTCCCTCTTCATCTCCTCATTCTCTGCCTCTTCATTGCCTTCCTCCACCAGGCCATCATCTCCTCCGATCCCGACCCTCTCCTCAAGGGCCGCACTCCCGTCCACCGCTTCACCTCTCTCCAGTCCGCTGCCGTCCTCTTCCTCTTCTTCCTCCTTTCCCTTTCCCTCCTCCTCTCCGAATCCACCTCTCTACTCCCCATCCCTCCCGATCTCTTCTTTGCACTCGCCTCCGCTGTCTTCTTTCTTGACCACTCTGTTTCCTCGGCCGCCGCCTCTGTCCAGACTTCCGATCTCCAAGTCAAATGCGATTCCGTCTCCGCTTCTGTCTCTTCCTTATCTTCGCTTCTGTGCCTTATTCTCGCCTGCCAGCCCAGGCTCTTCATTGTGGATGTGGGATTGGCAGCGTCACTGTGCTTGCAGGGGCTATGGGCGCTGCAGACGGGTCTGTCTCTTTATGTTGAGACCTTTATACCCGAAGGCTGTCATAAGATGCTTGATGTTGTGAGCGGTGTAGAGAGCTCTACCAAGTGCGACCTTGAGGAGTCCAAGTTGCGGGCTGTTGCAATTCTGGATCTGGCCTTTTTGGTTCATGTGATGTTCGTGGTGATCATTCTCGTGCTTACTTATGCTCTTGTTGCTAAGAGCGTCGGGATGAGGAGACTGGGGGCCTACGAGGCGTTACCCTCTTCTACCACTGCTACTACTCTTGGGGACTCTAATCATATTCAGATGAAGGCATTGACGGGCACGCAGGCTTGATTTTCTTTTCAACTTTCACTCTTCTTCCGTTTATTTATTTATATATGATATTATAACTGATTAGACTGTTGTTGCACTATCGTTTGTGTGGTTTTAGCTTTACTGACAGAGCTTGTATCTTTAGGGAACTTGCCCAAGTTTTGTATATACAAGTTGTTTTTGGCGTGTGATTTTCAATTGAGTGCTAGTAGTACCATATCTTAGTAGTACTATATCTTTCTTCAAGTCTTATTAGTTTTCCAGCAAAGATTGTGTCTGTGATTTCATTATCTTCACCTCCTAATATACATTATGTACAATGGTGCTCTGCATTATCCTCAACTAGGACGCCGTCACCATGGTTGTGTTTAGTAGCGAGCTGACAAGCGTAGCTTTTTGTTTCTTATATATATATATATATGTATGTATATATACATATGTCAGTGTGAAGTTTTTAGTTAGCAGATCCCAGGATTGATGTTTAAGATTTCTTTTATCTGGCAGTGCATCTTCAGGAGCTTGTTATATTATGATATAGACAATGATTAATTTCATATAGTTGGATGTTCAATCTAGACTCACTGGGAGGACTTGTTAGTGCTGTAAGATTATCTTGGCTCAAAATATGCTAAGTAGAAGGGCAGCCAAAAATGGAGAGGAGTGAACTAGTGAAGTATTCTGAATGAGAAGACTTTCTACATGTTAAGAAATATTATATATAGGCTTCAGAAAGGCTTGAAAGAAAGACCCTAAAAAGAATTGTGATAGGATTCCTTTTGGTGATGAGTAGATCTAATACTTTTTGTCTGGTTAACTCAACCAAATTTCCCCCCCTCTAGATTAGCATTTTAGCTTTGCAAACCATCATTTTTGCAAGTGTGGTATGCTTGTGCATTGTTGAAATAGTTAACCTTACTGTCTCTAAGGGAGTATGTTTTTTTAATTCATGAGAATTTTCTAAAGATTGAGCTGGTGAGTGACGCGGCCTATATTTTTGTGGCACTGTTTTGAATGTTTTGAGGATTCCAGTAATGCGAATGATTTTAACAATGCCTATGAAGGTAGATTGAGGTGCCAGACAATGGTGAGGTTAGCCTTGCATGAGAGTTAAATAGATATGGAAAAGAATTTTTATTTTGCTGCCGCTTGGTTTATGGAGTGCAGTGAGTTCTTGGACTGGAATAATAGAGTTGAGCATTGTCTGTAAAAATGATGTTCTTTTGGGATGAGGAATATAATGCCATCCAATTACCCCTTCCTATTGAATGGATCAGATTGCTTGAAGAGTTTTAAGAAGAGTGGCTTCTTTTATGGTGTGGACTATATCAAGAGACCTGTCTCTCATTTAAAGATTCATGTTTTATTAGCTTATAAATAAATTTTTATTTTTAAGAAACGAATTAATGATTATTTATCTTTAGGTATGAGAAGCTAACCTCCGAAGTACTCCCTGGATTTCATTTTGAATCTCATTTCAACTTTTTGGCACGAATTTTTCATGGAACAACAAAGACTACTAAGGTACTTGGAACATCAAAATCATAAGATATAAATACTGATGATTTGTGGCTTTTCCAATTTCTTTTTTTTTTTTCGAGAAAAATACATACCAAACATGTCCTAAAATTATTTCTTACAAACTTGGGGGCATAATGCATAGAGAGGGTTTACGTGATTTGCCTATTGGTCGAAATGCCACATATTGCTTTTTTGTATTTTGTCAGGGTTGGGAAGAAATCAATGGAAAAAATTTTTTAAATTAGATGTGAGAGGAATGGAAGGGTGAAATCAAAGTACTAAGATATGTACCAAAGATCAAAGGAATAAGGTAATTGATGAGTGAGTATAAGAACTCAAATCCGTAATGGTATGAACACCACCAAGTGGCTTGTGGTTTCGCACCTCATTGATTCAAGTGAGCTGTTCATTCGATTTGAGGATCAAATTTTCAATTGTTAATATTTAACAATACTAATTTATTAATTATTGGTCTTATAAAAAAAAATCGTAATGGTATGGAATAGTAATAATGTCACAAATAATGATAAATTTATAATTATAATAAGATATTAAAAATATAATATAATATTAAATAAAAAATATAGTGTTATAAATGAATTTTTAAATATAATAAACTAATTATATAATTCTACATAATATAAATTGTACGTCTATATAACATTTTCGAAAGAAAAAGAAAAAGAAAATAAAATTAAGATTAGGGTTAGGATTAGGATGCAGAGCGGATACATCCATTAGCTTAGCGTTCGTTTGATGTGTTGGACCGACCACGTCGTCATCCACTTACCATAGTCTGCTCCGCAGGGGATTGCTGCGCCGAGAAAGGACAACTGGAGTCGTGGCCTGCTGCGGCAACAGCGGTGGGTAAAGTATCACGCTTTTCCTTTTGCACTATTGTTGACCCTTGAACACAAAAGAAAAATAATAATACGTAATTTCTTTTCTTTTCTTATACATTTCGTCTTTTCGTTTTGTTGCGTTGCGTTTACCATTTAGACGAGATCCGCCTGCCCGCCCGCTGCAGCGGCTCCGTCATCGGAACTTACATGACGGCAGCTCCGACTGGTTTCCGTTTTCCTTAAGGTAAAGCTTCTCCTCTTCCTTTTGTTACATAATAATAATAAGAATAATGATTGATTTTATGCTATTTTCCATTTAATTAATGACCAATTAGATCCACAACTTCCTTCTCCTTTTTTTTTTTTTCTTAGATTTATGCATAGATGCGTATATAGATATAATAAGATCGGTGTCGATTCTGTTTTATTTCTTCGATTTTGAATTCGACATCATCAGCTATTTGCCACATTCCATCCGATCTAATCTGATCTGACCCCAGGGTAATTACTGAATTATTATTGTAAATGCCATAAAAATTCATAGCTTTATCTGCTCCAATTCAATAATCATGTTGCAATACATTTTATTTTATAATTTTTGGTGCAAGAGTTAACTCGTTTCTTCTTCTATATTGATTGTGCATTACTTTTTCTTTCTTTCTTTTTTTTTTTTTTTTTTTAAAAAAAAAATTATAAGCCCTGAACTCTGTTGGCGGGCTGATCCTTACTCAAAGTTGGCTTCAAGGTCCTTAGTAACAAATACTGGATTTGTTTGGAAGTCCATTTATATCTACTTGAGCGCCTCCCCCATTTGCAACTCTAAGTTGGATCTCCTCTCCAAACATGGGGGAGTGGGTGGTTGGGGCTTTCATTAACCTCTTTGGAAGCATAGCCATCAACTTTGGAACAAACCTTCTTAAATTAGGCCACAATGAGGTAATTATCTTACTTCCATGCTTAAACTAATTTCTTTTTCAGTTATCTTAAACACGATTCACCTGTTTGTCAACTCATATCTTACCTGACCACCTTCATCTTTGTTCACTTTTCTAAGTAATATGTATGCCTGCTTACCTTGATTTAATCTGATAAATGCCAGTTTCAGCTTTCAACAACTACAACAAAACACATTATATCATCTTAGTAATATGCCTGCTTGTCTTATTTTGATGAATACCAAATACCATTACCTATTGTTTAGTAGTTTACAAGTGATTCATCATTGTGTTCTGCTTAGAGCATAATGGCATTTAAGGATTTCAATTGTATATGGCAACAGGCAAACAGTGCTAAACTTTGTTCTACTTTTCATCTATTCTTCATGATTTTGCAGAGAGAGAGATATTCTACACTAGATGGTGATGGAACCGGTGGAAAGATTCCTTTGAAACCTATCATATACTTCCAGACTTGGAGAGTTGGTATGGTCGTCTATCTTTTTTTATGCTGAATGGTCTATGGTTGTTTTTAATTTGCCCTACATTTTTTTTTTTTTAATTAAAATTTTGGAATGCAGGTATTGTGTTTTTCATTCTTGGGAATTGCCTTAACTTCATTTCTTTTGGTTATGCTGCTCAGGTAAGTTCTAGCTTTCTGTTTTGAATTTCATTAAATTGTAATGACATTGCACATGTGATTTTCTTTTCTTTCCGGGACAAAAACAAGTTTTGTGTTATGTTTGGAAAGCTTTTTGATTTCTTTCTTGCTGATCTTTTTCATTTAGTAATTTTTATCCTTTTTCTTCTTTCTTTACAGTCACTTCTTGCAGCCTTGGGATCTATTCAGTTTTTATCCAACATTGCATTTGCTTACTTTGTCTTGCACAAAATGGTTACTGTCAAGTATGTTAAAGTTTGCCAATTACCATGACTAAAACAAAGCTGTTTGTCTTTCTGTAGATTGTTATCTCAAACTCTATCTCATTCTCATTGATATTGCTTACAGGGTACTAGTTGCAACAGCCTTTATAGTTCTTGGAAATATTTTTCTAGTTGCATTTGGCAACCATCAATCACCTGGTATCTAATCTCCTTTGACTTCCACAGTTTAATACATTGAATTACATTAGCACTATGACTAGTGCCTCAATTCTTTTTATGTTCTCTTTTGATAAGAGTATCGATAAGGTTATTCTTTCCTTTCTTCTGTTTAGTTTATACCCCAGAACAATTGGCAGAGAAATACAGCAACATCACGTTTCTTCTTTACTGTCTGACTTTGATATTAGTTGTTGCATTACATCACTCTGTTTACAGGTGAGAGGTGTGGAACCCCTTATATTTTTTAGTTGTAATGTAATATTGAATTGCCATTATTTTAGCCATTCTAACATAAACTGAGAAACCTTTGCATCTGGATGTGCAGGAGAGGAGAACTTTTGCTTGCTGTTTCAGGACAAGATCTTAGGCCTTACTGGCACATGCTGTTACCTTTTTCCTATGCTGTTGTTTCAGGTGCTGTGGGATCATGCTCGGTGTTATTTGCAAAATCTCTGTAAGTTAGCAATGTTAAATAGTTTCATTGCCCTTTTTCAAGTAACTCGGACAGTTAGTCTGTAGTCTGATGTCAAGTTTCTTGCTTTTCCAGCTCTAACCTTCTAAGGTTGGCAATGTCTAATGGTTATCAGTTGCACAGCTGGTTCACATACTCCATGCTGCTTTTATTTCTTAGTACTGCTGGATTTTGGGTAAAAATTATGCCAAAACTTATTTTATTTTTTTGTAATGAAGATGGTTTTAAAGTTTTTGTTAAATTTTAATTATTTTTGAGCTATCCCACTCCAGATGGCGAGGTTGAATGAAGGCCTGTCACTTTTTGATGCAATCCTTATTGTTCCCATGTTTCAAATTGCTTGGACATTCTTCTCCATCTGTAC